CCGCACTTCAAGAGGGATGTGGATAACCTGGAGAGGGTCCAGAGAAGGGCCACTCGTATGGTTGAGGGCTTGCAGACCGAGCCCTACGAGGAGAGACTAGAGAACCTGGACCTTTCAGCCTCCGCAAGAGAAGGTTGAGAGGCGACCTTGTGGCTGGCTATAAGTTCATCACGGGGGCACAGAAGGGAATTGGTGAGTATTTATTCACCAGGGCGCCCCCGGGGGTTACAAGAAATAATGGCCACAAGCTAGCAGAGAGCAGATTTAGACTGGACATTAGGAAGAACTTCTTCACAGTTCGAGTGGCCAAGGTCTGGAACGGGCTCCCAAGGGAGGTGGTGCTCTCCCCTACCCTGGGGGTCTTCAAGAGGAGGTTGGATATGCATCTAGCTGGGGTCATCTAGACCCAGCACTCTGTCCTGCCTATGCAGGGGGTCGGACTCGATGATCTATTGAGGTCCCTTCCGACCCTAACATCTATGAGTCTATAAGAGGACCATGCCCCCTCATCTCTGCTCTCCACATCCCGATGGGAATGCTTGGCTCTGTTAGCACCCCCACCCCTCTAGGCACTGATCACAGACACACTAAAGACTCCTTTCTCCAACAGGAGAATGGCGCATTGCCAAGCACAGGAGGGCAGAGCCAGCGCTGCAGCAACCAGGTCCCTGCCAGGAGCATGACCCTGACTCCGATGCCATTGGGACAGGTGCGTGGGCAAAGAATGCAGCACTCCCCTGAACATCACAAGCCAGAAGAGCAGGGATGGGCTGAGAGGGGCAGCAGCCAAGGGGGGGCTGCAGCCGAAGATTCGCCTGGATGTTCCTGGCTGCTCGGTCCCTTTAACCGTGCAGCCGCTCGAGCAGACAGAGTCCACTGCCCTTGGCACCCCTGAAGCGCTTGACTCTGGCCCTGTCTACAGGGGTACAGGCCAAAGAGCCCCCTGTGCCCTGCTAAAGACTCAGGGACTGACTGCAGGGAGGGGAGAGTGACCTGGGAGCAGCATGGGGTCTCTGCCTGGTAGATCCTTGACCTCTTTCTCCCGGGGCCCGGCTTGATTTGCGGGGCGAGCGGGGGTGGTGGGGGGCAGCACAGCAGTGAGAGGGTGATGAGGGCGATGGGGGGTGGTGGTAGCACATGCATATAGGGCAGTGGTGAGCCCAGGCGAACAGCAGCAGCACACGTGTAGAGCAGTGGAAGGTGCACACTAGTGGTGGCAGGACACATGTAGGGCAGTGGCAGGCAGCACACACGTGTAGGGCAGTGGTGGGTATGGGCAGCACTCGCATGTTGGGCAGTGGCAGGCACAGGTGAGTGGTGGTGGCACACGCACATAGGGCAGTGATGGGCCCAGGCCAGTGGAGGTGGCATGTGTGTAGGGCAGTGGCGGACACAGGTGAGTGGTGGCAGCACATGTGTGTAGGGCAGTGGCAGACACAGTGGCACGTGTGTAGGGCAGTGATGGGCACAGGCGAGTAGTGGTGGCACATGCATGTTGGGCAGTGGCAGGGGCAGGTGATTGGCAGTAGCACATGCATATAGGGCAGTGGTGGACGCAGGTGAGCGGCAGGCTGGGTGCTCAGACAGGCTTCCTCCGGCAGAGCAGGGCATGGGGAGGCAGGGTGCCACCTGCACAAGAGGAAGCAGGGCCCATCGCTGCAGCCATGGCTGGAAACCGCAGGAGCCAAAGTCACTGGGGGTGCTTGTACACTAATTATGAGCATTAAATGCGTTACATGCAAAGTAGTAATGTCAATCGTTGTGATACATTACCAGAGTGAAATAAACCCAGAGAATATCTTTAGCTAGAAAAACCCGATAATGTGTACAAGCGCCCTGGCAGACGCTTCCCTTGCTCTGCCGCCCCATCAGGGGAGGGGAACTCTGGGCCTCCCTCCCTGCACTCTGGGGGGGGCACGGCTTGGGGTCAGTACTGTCCCCTGGCTCCCCGCAGCTGCTCCATCACACACCTGTACCGGGCTGGGGCCATGGCAGGGCAGGCGCCTGGGCCTCGGCCTGGGCGTTCCTAGAGTCTGTGAAGGCTGAGGCCATCCTGCCGCGGAGAGCCAGCACTGGGGCGGGTGGGGGGGGAGGAAACTGCCCTATTGTTCAGGACTGCCTCTCGCTTCCTGCCAGACGGCTGGAGGAGCCTCCTACCCCTGAGACCTAACCAAGTCTGACGCACCCATGGGCTACGTCCCCGCCGGCTTCCCTGCCCCCAGGGCTCCTACTGCCCCAGGGCCCCCGCGGAGCTCAGCTGCCCAGGCAGACCCCAGCTGTGGCCACAGACCCAGTGTTTTCTGACCCAAGCCTCCCGGGTCTGACAGACCTCTGCAGCTTCTGGGTCCCCGGGGCCAGGGCAGAGGTGCACAGCCCCTGGGCAAAGCCAAAGGGCAGCCTCTGGCATGAAGCCAACGAGCATCAATGCTACTGGCCAGCAGCAGGGCAGGACCCCCGGTCCCTGGGAACAGAGGCAGAATCAGACCAATCCCAAACGGAAGACAAGAAACAAGTAACGCTTCTAGCAAACCAGGCACTCGGTCCAGCTGGGATCCGTGACCAGACTGGGCCTGGAGTCGTGGGACAGTGGCACAGAGGTGGGGGGCCTGGCCCTGCTGCTACTGCAGCTCCCACAAGGGCTGCTCTACCCTAGCTCTCCCGCCATGGGCCCGGGTCAGGCGGCAGTGGGCCTGAGCCCCCAGGGACATGTGCCCGCTGCCACCAGCCTGAGCGCATGGAAGCTGAGACCCACTGCCACCGTGCGTCCTGGGGCACACTGGCCAGTGCTCGCCTGATCCTGACGGACCCGCGCAGCTGCACGTGGCACTCTCCTCGAGACGCTACTGCAGCAGCAAATCGCACACTCCCTGCCCCACATGCTCATGGCCCTGCTCCCTCCAGCTGCACGTTGTCCAAACAGCAGCCGCCCAGCAGCCGTATGGCCACAGCACAGCACACAGGGCCAGAACCGCACACCCAGGGTACATGCGTGGCACACTGGCACGACAGCCACATCCACGCACATACTCCCCCTGCACGTCTGTGACCTGGCACAGCTGCCAGAACTGCCTTTCGGGACACCAGCTCACCAGCCCAGGCTCCCTGGGGACCAGCCAAGAGCCGGGCTGGCTGCTCCCCCATGGAGCCCACCAGACCTGCCTAGCCTGTGCTCATGCCCAGAGTATAGGGCCAAGGAGCCCAGGGAGGCGGAAGCCAGTTAATCTGTAACCAGCTCCTTCACCTTTCACCTCTTTCTTCCCCACTCTCAACTTCCTGGGACTCCACCTTCCGCCCCAGGCAGAGGCAGGACGGAGCCAGAGGGAGCAGGTGCCAGGCGCTGCGGCAGGTAACTCTGCGAGGGGGAGGCAGAGGAGGGCAGCGGGAGGCAGCAGGGGCTGGGAAGCTCCTCTCCTCTCCTCTCCTCTTGGTGTTCTGCCCTAATGGCCTCTTTGGAGGAGGGGCAGGGCTGGGACTCGTGTGACAGTGACCTGGGCACCAGGCCGATGCCAGACAGCTGGTTGCACCCCACCCCAGCCTGTGCAAACTGGAGGAACGAGCTGGGCTGACAGGCAGCATCCAGCAGCTCTGGCACTGGGCCCTGCATGGCAGGACCAGGCTGGCGCGGTGGGAGCCCATGCAGGGAGCCTGGCTGCCCTCCCACCTGGGAGCTGAGCATGGCCCACAGCACCTCCGACACAGGGTACCCCGTCACTCTACGCACGTCCCTCGGTCCTGCCAGGTGTCCGGGCTCCAGTATCACCTGAGACCCGGGCTTACACTGCCGCGTTCTCCCGGGATCCCCCATAAGCAGGAGGACAAGGCCTGCAGAACTGCCCTGCCCCATGGCTGGGGCGCTGGTCCCTGCTGTGCTGGCAGCTGAGGCCTTTGCAGGGAGAGAACCGTAGCCTGGCTCGCTGGCAGCGCGCCAGCTGGCAGGGCCCTGCCGCTTGTGCACTCGGCGTCTTTGGAGGCCCTGACCGCACCTGCGCCTGGATGCTGCAGCCAGTGTCAGCCCCAGCACGAGGTGGGGAGAGAGGGGCCTGGCGCAGGTGGGGGCAAGCCCAGGCACTGCAGAGCACTCTCTCCAGAGCATGAAGGGAGCATGTCCCCAGGGTTTGGGGATGGTTGGCACTGACAGACCCCCTCAACCTTGCTCCACCCCCCTCCTTCCCCAGCACATTCATAAAGCCAGTGCTGACAGACCCCCCTGCTATGCCCTGCTCTCTGCCATCCATTCCTGATCCTTTCCCCTGCACTTATGGTTGTGGCGCACTGCCCAGAGTGCCACCCTCCCTGAGGCCTGGGAGCCCTGCATGTGCTCATCCCCCCCGTGCAGACATGGAGGCAGGGTAGAGGGGTGTGCACCTGGGCAAGGTCACCCCAAGTTGGAATTGGAGGGCATGGCACCCTTGAGCTCAGTCCCAGGTGCAGATCAGGCCCCACTGCTTCTCTTGAGCTGCTCCTTGCCTCAACCCCCACCCCCTGCACTGCCACTGCATCCTTGCTGCTGTTCATTACCATGGGTGCCGACCCCTCCTGCATCACACCCGCCTCCTAGCCAGGCAGTGCCGGCAGGCTCTGTGCCAACCCACCTCTCTGTTGTGCAGCTTCACGGAGCCCCATGGCAGGTGTCTGGTTCCTGTGGGTCTGCGGCCTCCTCTGCACCTGGGCCCTGGCAGTAGGACACCCCTGCCACGTTGGCAGCCAGGTGGGTAGGGGGCATGTACCTGTGCAGGGGGAGGGTGCAAAAACCCCAAGGCCTGGTCCAAAGCACTGTGTGCAGAATGGTGACCGCAGCCAGCTCCAAGCAGGGCTTGTAGGGCACTGCTGTAACAGATCCCACTAATAACAGCACCAACGACCCACAGCAAGGGGGTCAGGGGAGACTAGAGCGGGACAGCAGGCAGGGGAGGGGCCCCCAAGCCCCAGGCACAAAGTCACACGTACCCAGGCCAGGAGGGCTGCTGGGCTGGATTTGCCTCTGGGGTTCCTACAGGGAGCCTGGCACTTTTGCTCTGGCTCAGCTGCTGGATGACGTTCTGGAGCCTGGGGGCAGGAGGCCAGAAGAGAGGCTTGTGCCAGCCACGGCAGCCCAAGTGCTGGCAGCCAGGAGTCACCCAGCTATACCAGCATCAGTATCACAACCCCGGCTGGTGCTCCCAAGAACAGAGAGAGGAGTGTGGGCCAGCAGGCCCCACCTGGCAAGTGTAGACACCGCCCCAGCAGGACACAGGCCAGGCTGACCCCGCCTTGCCTGCACGGTGCCCTGGGAGGGGCCCTCCCCAGAGCCTTCCCATCCGGCCCAACCGCTCCCATGGCCTCTGACTCAGAAACAAGCATCACGTGTGCGCCAGCCACTCTGCAACAAGCCCAGGGCGGGAGGGAGATGGGAACAGAGTGCTCAGCTGGCACAGGACCTGCACCAGTGCCGAACAGAGCAGAAGAATCACTGCCCTTGGTTTGCAAGTGAGACTCCTGTCGATGCACTCTGGTTGATGTTAATACAACCCAGGAGACTGCTGGGGGGGGTTTCCAGCAAGAGCACTCTGTTGGCTTGTATTCAGGCTATGGTCTACTGGAACCCCCAAGCCCTTCTCTACAGTACTACAGCCTGGCCAGTCATTCCCAGCCTGTATTGTGCATGTGATTATTTCATCCCAAGTGTAGGACTGAGCACTCGTTCCTGTTGAATCTCATCTGGTTGATTGCATGCCATTTCACCAGGCTATCCTGGTCATTCTGGATGCTCGTCCTGCGCTACGCAGTGTCTGGAGTACACTCCACCCAGCCTGGTGTCATTACAAATTTGCTAAGCGTGCACTCAATCCCATCATCCGAGTCATTAATGAAGATGTTGCATGATCCCAAGCCCAAAACAGATCCCTGGAAAACCCCACTTGATACCTCTTTGCAACTAGGCATGGACCTATCAATGACTATTCCTTGAGTACAATGATACAACCAGTTACAGTACTTCCATCTAGTTTGTATTTCCTTACAGTCAGAATGCCATGGGAGAGAGTGTCAACAAGCCTTACTAAAATCAATGCTTATGACATCCACTGCTCTCCCCCTGCCTTCCCCAACCACAGAGCCTGTCACCTTATTGTTGTTGGAAAGCAGGTTGGTCAGGCATGACTTGCTCCTGGTGAATCCAGGCTGGCTGCTACTGATCACCTGGTTCTCCTGTAGGTGTTTAACAATTTTTTCCTGGTGTGCCCATGTGATACTTTTATACTCTTCCCGAGTACTATGACCAAGCATCCACTTTTTTGTAGAATTCCTTTTTCATTTTCGGCTCATTGAAGAGATTGCTGTGTAGCCAGGTTGGTCTCCCACGGCACTTCCCACTCTTCTGTTGCATTGGCACAGATTGCTCCTGAGCCCTTAAAGTGCAGTCAGCTCTCCTGAACTCCTCCTCGCCTCCAACTCCCCTCCAACAAAGTGCTGAGGGAACTAGCAGAGGTCATTGCGGGATCCTGTCACGGCTTTACAAGCACTCGTGGTGCTCTGGCGAGGTGCCAGAGGACTGGAAAAGGGCCAATGTGGATCCCATTTTCAAAAAAGGGAGGAAGGAGGACCCAGGAAACTATAGGCCAGTTAGTCTTACCTGGATCCTGGGTAAGCTTTTTGAGAGAGTTATGCTGGTGCATGTCCGCGAGGGTCCGGCAGGGGAGGTGATGCTCAGGGGCAACCAACACAGGTTCATTCGAGGCAGGTCCTGTCAGACCAACATAGTGGCCTTCTACGACCAGGTCACAACATCCTTAGATGCAGGGGTAGCAGTGGACGTAGTCTTTCTGGACTTCAGGAAGGCCTTCGACACCGTCTCTCACCCCATTCTCATTAAAAAACTCGGGGACTGTGGCATCGACACCTACACAGTGAGATGGGTCGCTAACTGGCTGGAGGGCCGCACCCAGAGAGTGGTGGTGGACGGGTCATTCTCGACCTGGAGGGCTGTGGGCAGTGGGGTCCCCCAGGCCTCGGTCCTCGGACCCGCGCTGTTCAACATCTTCATCAGTGACTTGGACGAGGGGGTAAAAAGCACCCTGTTCAATTTGCAGACGACACTAAGATGTAGGGGGATGTGAGCATGCTAGAAGGGAGGGACAGGCTGCAATCGGACCTAGACAGGTTACAGGGGGGGGCAGATGAGAACAGGATGGGTTTCAACACTGACAAGTGCAGGGTGCTGCACCTGGGGAGGAAGAACCAGCAGCAGACCTACAGGCTGGGGAACTCCCTTCTTGTCAGTGCAGAGGTAGAAAAGGATCTTGGAGTCATTATTGATGCCACAATGAACATGGGCCGACAGTGTGGGGACACGCTCAGGAAGGCCAACCGCACCTTGTTGTGCATCCACAGGTGCATCTCGAGCAGGGCCAAGGAGGTGATCCTCCCCCTCTATGCAACACTGGTCAGGCCGCAGCTGGAGTACTGCATCCAGGTCTGGGTGCCGCACTTCAGGAGGGATGTGAACAGCGCGGAGAGGGTCCAGAGGAGGCCACCTGCATGGTCAGGGGGCAGCAGGGCAGGCCCTACGAGGAGAGGCGACGGGACCTGAACCTGTTCAGCCTCCACAAGAGAAGGCTGAGAGGGGATCTAGTGGCCTGCTATAAACTAGTCAGAGGGGACCAGCAGGCATTGGGGGAGTCCCTGTTCCCCCGAGCACTCCCAGGAGTGACCTGTCCTTTCTGGTTCATGCCTAGCTCTGGCAGGCTGCTCTGAGATGGAGCAGCTGTGGGTCTTTGCGTGGCTTGTGCTGACACTAGATACCGCACTGGGACAGTTCTTGCTGGGACCTGCCAGCAGCCCCTGGGCGCTGTGTCTACAGGTGCTGCTTTTCTCTAGAACCCTGCAAAGAGCAATTAATGAATCAATTAGGTAACGAGGCTTGTACCCCTGGGGAGCCTGGCTCTTGGGGATGCTGGAGGGAGGCTGCACCCCTCACATGATGATACTGTTTCTCCAGGGCTGGGCTGACTGCAGCGGCAACAGCCTGCTCCGCGCTCCTGACGCTCTCCTCCGGAACATCACCGGCCTGGACCTTTCCCGCAACTCCCTGGTGGTGCCCAAACATGGGGCCCTGCTGAATGGCTTCCCCGCCTTGCGCTCCCTCAACCTGTCTAGCAACCCTCTCTTCACGCTCTACCCAGCCACCTTCTCTGGCCTCGGGGCACTGCGCCTGCTGGACTTGAGCCACTGTGGCCTTGCCCACCTTCACCCTGCAGCCCTCCAGGGCCTAGGGAACCTGCACACGCTGCTCCTGTGGGGCAACTGGCTCCGGGCCCTGGAGGTGTCCATGATCCCAGCTCATGGGGTCCTCTCGCACCTGGACCTGCGCAACAACCAGCTGGCCTATGCTGCTGGCCCTGTCCTGCAGCGGATGGGAGGAATTCTGCGGGTCCAGCTGCAGGGCAACCCCTGGGCCTGCAACTGCTCTGCCTCTGTGCTCCAGCAGTGGCTGCTGCAGAGGCAAGGTGAGGAAGGGTCATGGGTCGGGGCTGGGGTGGGTGGATTCACCAAGTCTTCCTCCCAGGGAGTGGGGAGGACTCGGTGCCTTGGGATGGGACTTTGGGCAGGGGCATCCCACCACCTGCCCCGGTAGCTGGAGCAGAAGGGAACAGGCCGGGGGCAGGGAGCACCACGCACATGCTGCTCCGTTCTTCACATACTTGGGACCGGGGAGGGGAGGGCCGGGCCGGGCCCAGGGCTGAGGCCCCCGCACTGAGACAGGTTCTTTCCCCCAGCTGCGCAGGTCCTGTGCGCCTCACCCCCTGCACTCCGGGGCCAGGACATCAAGACCCTGACCTCCCAGGACCTGGGCTGCAGGGGACAGCGGCGGCTCCCCCGCGCGGGGCCCTCGACTAGCACACAGCCGCTGCCCACGGCAGCTGGGAATGACAGTGAGTTGTGAAGCTATGGGGTGGGATTCCCCTCTCCCCCACAGCATCCACTGCCCCCAAAGCTCAGACCCATCAGTCCTTCACTGAGGTCTGAATCCCTGTCTGGTGCTGCCCTGGTGGCTATGCCACCAGGGCATTGCAGCGATGGCACAAGCCTGGCAGCTGCATGCCCCATGCAACCCCTGCCTGGCACCTGGGCAGGCTGCGCGGGTTGTTCTGCACTGGGCCAGCCACAGCAGCATTCTCCCAGCTGAGAGCAGGGGCTGGTGCTGGCGGTGCCTGTAGTGTCACCACGTGCTCCACAGCACAGTCCTCAAGCCATGTGCCACAGGCACCCCCAGCTCCCATCAGACTGAGCCAGCTAACCCCACGTGGCACCGGGCAATAAACCCGAGCCCAAAGGTCGAGGACGCAGCCTCCCAGCTCCTTCCTGAGCTACCAGCTCCTGCTGCAGGAACCCCAGTGCCAAGTCAGCTGTCAGTCCCTTCCCCTCCCACCAGTGCACCAGCCACCCCCACTCCGTCTAGCTGTCAAACTTGTGGGTTGGTCCCAGATGGCCAGAGGATTTCAAGGGTTCAGTCACTACCCAGGCCCCTGCACTGAGCCCCACCGTTGTGCTGTCCCCACACAGCCCCTGCCCTGCACAGAGCAGACGGGAAGCAGCACCGCTCTGCTCTGCACTGCTCACGGGACATGGAGCTAAGCACTCACCTGTGCGCGCGGGGGCGGAGGGGGGAGAGTGCAGCTCCACAGCATCTTCTGTCTGTCTTCTGCCCAGCAGCCACCACACCGCTGGTAGGGAAGGGGGGCAACAGCTGGCCATACCTTGTTGGCTTCATCCTGTGCGCCATCGGCATCTCTATCCTGATCGCACTGGCGGCCAAGTGCAAACTCTTCCACAAGAACTTTGCCAGCTACCGCCACCGACCGCTGCCCGATACCAGCTCAGTGGTGAATGGCCCGGCCGAGGAGAGTGCAGCCTGGGAGGAGAACCGGCCCGGGCCCATCGGAAGGCTGCAGCCAGAGGAGGACGATGGCTTCATCGAGGATAACTACATCCAGCCCAGCGAGCAGCTGCAGGAAGAGGAGGACATGGAGCTGCACTTCTCCCTCTGAAGCTGGGGTCTGCCCAGCTTCTCCTCTGCCCTCTGGGGCCATAGCCTTCACCTTCTGCCCTCCCACTCCTCCTCCCAGGCTGGGGCCTTTGCCTCCTGCCTCCCCACCCAGACTCCCCTGCATCCTTTGAGGCTGGGACTTCTGCCCTGCGGGCCCCTCCTCATCCCAGAGGCTGTGGCATCCCAGCACCCCCTCCTCACCAGCCCATGCCCTTGTTCCTGCTTTGCTCCTCCTGTTTAAGTGGGGCCAGGAGACCTGGAAGAAGATGGAGCCAAGAGGCACGCAAGGAAGGGGCTGCCTAGGCAGAGCGGGCAGGGACTGCCTAGGAAGAGCAGAGTGGTGAGGGCACAGTGAAGAGGCTGCCCTTGCCAGGAAGCTGTGCGGGCCTTTCTCCCAGGGGTGTGCAGGCCCAGATCACTGGGGGCCTGTGTGTGGCACTGACAGCAAACAGCCCCACCCTGTCCTGTGTGTCTCTGCGTCAACACTGGTGACACCAGGGGAACCCAGCCCCACGCTGCTGCTGCTGCTGCTCTGAGCAGGTCAGAGACGCTGGTTCGCTCAGCACCTGCTCCACTCCCAGCAGCCCAAGCCAGGGCTCTGGGCCATCACACACTCCTGGGCTTGGGAGCCAGAGAGGCGACTGGATCCTTCCACGTGAAGCTTTGTCTTTGCAATCCAGGGAAGGGAGGCTCCAGGCAGCTGAACAAAGCTGCGGACCTGTGGGACAGGCCATATATCGCTGCTTGCCAGCTGTTCCGAGCACAGGCCTCATGAAGCCTGGGAGACCGCAGGGAGGATGGGCCAGAGCCGGTATCATGACAAGTATCAGGACAGCTGGCCCAATGCCAGGCCAGACTGGCTCACTGTGCAGCCAGAGCATGTAGAGCAGCTGTGCAGCTGCTCCACAGGTCAGTGCCGCCTGTTCCTCCTGCCTCGGAACAGGACCTTGTTGCAGGCCCTTCCTCTCCCTGGCTGCAAGGCTCTGCATTAAATGGCTGCTTGAGTCCTGGGACTGGATGATCAATGCAATGGTAACTTAGGGTGATTTTTATCCTCGTCCCTGTCAGCACCCCAAAAGGCTGCAGGAGGAAAAGATATTGGAGATGCCTCGGTGGGGTTTGTTCATCCAACAGCAAGGTGCAGCCACCTCTGGGGCAGAACATAGCCAACAGCAGGTTAAGAGAACTGCTAATGACATAAAATCCTGTAGCGGTAGAGGAATGTGTCAACATAATAAAAAACTCAGTGTTTTTAAACTGGCGTGCACTTGATGGCAACAACCTATTCCCTTCCCATGCCATATGTAAGCTCACCAGAGGGCAATACAGAAGTCCTAACTGATTCAAGGGACAAAGGAGGTAGGACAAAAGTAGCAGAACTGGGCCAGGCCTGACATTAACACTGCACACTGCAAAGTCCCAGAGATCTTCAGTTCACTGGAAGCTGGAGTAATAGCCACAGACCAGGAAGGAACAATCCACCCCTTTCCAGCACTGCCAGCTGCTCTTGACTCCACTCACCCGTCACTTGATTGAAAGGCCAGTGCCACCAGCTGTCGTGGTGTGCTTGATTAGGCTGGCTGCAGCCTCCTCTGGTCCCTGACACTACCCCCTGAAGCCAGCCCAGGCTTAGCTTCTAGAGCAGGGGCAGGCAAAATACAGCCCACAGGCCAGATTTGGCCTGCCAGGTGATTCTACCCAGCCCACAGGACCCCTCCAAAAACAATTATTACTGACCTGCGGCTGCACCTCTGAAAGCTGGCAGGAGGTGGCTTTCAGAGGTGGCACACCATCAGACCGGGCAGACATGTTCACCTCTGTGGGGCTTCCGCCACCCCACCTGGGATCCCCAGGTGGAGGCACCGAGCACAATGGTGTGCAACTGGCTGGCTGGTGAGTGGGGAGAGGAGCGCCTGCTTGCAGCGGCAGGTGGTGTGGGGTTTGTGGGTGGGAGGACATACCTATCTGGCTGGGCAGGCACAATGCCTCTGTGTGCTGCTCCACACTGGAGTGCTGGAAGTCTGATGTGGAGGCATGAAGCTAGCTTGGCCGGGTCTGATGGCATGCGACTCCCACCTGAAGTGCTGGCAGCCACGCGTGCTGGCATAGAGCTGGCCTGGTCTGGCTCAAAAGTGTGTGCCAGCAGGCCGTGTGGGCTCCGTGCCACAACGTACAGCTCTTGGGACTCAACCAGAGCTGTGCACTGCCAGAGGGCTCTGCCTGTATCCAACCAGGAGCACCCCGAGGGCCCACCACCTGCTGCTGGCATTGTGGGGTATGCACCATGCGGGGGTGGGGGGCATGTGCCAGGGGGCACATACACACCCACACCACCCCAGAAACCCCACACCCACCCACATCCCCTCACACTTAGGGTGACCACCTGTCCCTAGTTGGGTGGGGCAGTCCCGGGATGGGATCATCAAGACCCCCCACTCAGGGGTCTTCAAGAGGAGGTTATATATGCATCTAGCTGGGGTCATCTAGACCCAGCCCTCTTTCCTGCCTATGCAGGGGGTCGGACTCGATGATCTATTGAGGTCCCTTCCGACCCTAACATCTATGAATCTATAAAAGACCCGGTCTGGGGCTGCATGACTCCGAGACAGCATTTGTCCCAGAGTCACGGCATTGAGCAGGAATCTGGGTTTCATAGACATTAGGGCTGGAAGGGACCTCATAAGATCATCGGGTCCAGGGCCCTGCCCAAGGAGCCGGAAGCCAACTAGGGTCAAAGGATCCCAGCAAGATAAACGTCCAAATGTTTCTTGAGTGTCCAGAGTAGGTGCTTGCACCACCTGTGGGGGAGTTTGTTCCAGGCCCTGGGGGCTTGGACGGTAAACAAGTTTTTCCTCATTATGTCCACCCTAAAATGATCTTCCAGGAGCTTGTGACCATTGGACCTTGTCATACCCTGGGGTGCTCTGAACAGTCGTTCCCCCAGATCCTGATGCACACCCCTTATGTACTTACAGGCTGCCACCAAGTCACCCCTGAGCCTGCGCTTCTCCAGGCTGAAGAGCTTGCAGCCCCTCTTCATAAGGCCTGTTCTCATGCTCTCTGATCACACACATGGCTCTCCTCTGGACTCTTTCAAGCTTATCCACGTCATTCCTAAATTGTGGAGCCCAGAATTGGATGCAGTACTCCAGCTGCAGCCTCACCAAGCCTGAGTACAGCAGGAGGATAACATCCTGGATCTTGCTCAAGATGCAAGCAGACCTGGACAGGTTGGACAAGTGGGCAGAAAACAACAGAACGCAGTTCAACAAGGAGAAATGCAAAGTGCTGCACCTAGGGAGGAAAAATGTCCAGCATACCTTTAGATGTTAGATGTTAGGGTCGGAAGGGACCTCAATAGATCATCAAGTCCGACCCCCAATCATCGAGTCCATCCCCCAATATTTTGTTTAAGAGAACGTTTCTTTGTATTCCACTGATGCTGGAAATTCCAAGATATTTTTTTTTCATCGTTTAGGACAGGGATGTTAAACATATGGCCCATGCATCATATATGACCCCAGAACATTTTTATCTGGTCCACCAGGCCACTGTGGGGCACAGGCTGCCACAGAATACAAGGCCATTTGGTCCCACTGGACTTGCCACTACCACCTTTAAGTTCATCACGGGGGCACAGAAGGGAATTGGTGAGTATTTATTCACCAAGGTGCCCCCGGGGGTTACAAGAAGTAATGGCCACAAGCTAGCAGAGAGCAGATTTAGACTGGACATTAGGAAGAACTTCTTCACAGTTCGAGTGGCCAAGGTCTGGAACGGGCTCCCAAGGGAGGTGGTGCTCTCCCCTACCCTGGGGGTCTTCAAGAGGAGGTTAGATGAGTATCTAGCTGGGGTCATCTAGTCCCAGTACTCTTTCCTGCTTATGCAGGGGGTCAGACTCGATGATCTACTGAGGTCCCTTCCGGCCCTAACATCTATGAATCTATGCATTGGAAGATGCAAGCCAAAGTTTTGTTTGCTTTGCCAGCTGCAGTATCGCATTGGTGGCTCATATTCATCTGGTGGTCAATCATGACCCCCAAGACTCTTTCGGACATGGTGCTGGCGAGTGTAGCATTGCCGAGCCTATAAGTGCGATGTGGGTTTTTATTCCAGAGGTGCAGCACCTTGCATTTCCCCATATTGAATGCCATCAGGTTTTCATCCGCCCACCTTGCAAGCCTATCAAGGTCAGCCTGGATCAAGTATGGAGACTCTTCCCCAAAGTTCCCCTTGCATGCAAACAGCGTGCCAGTCTGCAAGGGGCTGCTGGGAGTGGGACAAAGGGGGCTCCATGTGCACGTGCCTGCCTGCACACATGTATGTGGCTGGGAAAGACCCAGGCAGCATGGAGGGCAGCTCCCAGCAGGTAGGTCTATGGGGGGCAGAGGGAGTGTGGAGAGGGGGCACAGACTGAGGCCCCTACAGCGAGGGAAGAAGTGAGGCTGAGGGTGCTGCCCAGCCAGCGTGGTGTGTGGGGTCCCTGGGTTAGGGCAGGGAGCAGAACTGAGCCAAAGGTGGCTTGTCCAGGGGGTGCAGGGGAGGACAGCTCCCAGGCACTGTGCACATCCCAGGGACGGGAGCATGGGGTGTACGTGCCCACCAAATTTGTGCGTGGAGTGGGGGGGGATGTGCCCTGCTGCCTTTCCCCCGGGAGCCCTGCCCTGCCTGGCAGCTGGGTGAAGCTGTGCCCCCTGCTGCTGCTGGGCAAGCGGGGGGTATGCAGGTAGCGTGGGGCTCCCAGGAAAGGATAGCAGGGTGGGGAGCCCTGAGCCCGCAGTGCACAGCTTGGCTCTGCACCCTGCTCTGTGCGGGGGGGGCCAGCAGCAGACATGCGCCTTGCCCTCCCCTTTTGAAAAGGTGGTCACCCCGCATGACCACCCCCCACAACCTCCACACACAATATCCAAGAGGAAGACTGTATTTTGAGCTATGATGTGAGCCCTATACACACACACACACACCGCAAATGCACGTAAATCAGGACAAAAATATTTTTTGAAAGTTCTAGTCCAGGGGTAGGCAATGTTTTTTGGCCAGAGTGCCGAAAAAACCACAATGCCTACCTTGGAAGGTGCCGAAGTGCCGACATGCCGGAGCCCGGAGCAGCTGTTTGCAGCCTCCAAGCTGCAGCCGGCCCACAGAGCCCTGTCTGCTTGCAGCAGGACTTGCAGCCTCCTGGCTGCTGGCTGGAGCAGCCGGGGCTCTGTGGCTGGCAGCAGCTGCTTGGAGCCCGGGCTGGCGGTGGTGCGCCGAGTAAAATGGCCTTGTGTGCCATGCTCCGCATGCGTGCCAGGGGTTGCTGACCCCTGTTAGTCAGTGTTTGATTTTTAGCGTATGATTCTTTTTCTGGTTCTAAGATAGCAACCCCCCACCCCCAATCCCAAAGAAGTATTTCTAGGGCCAAAGGTCAGGAGTTAGGGGGTAGGACTTCAGTCCCAAAATGGCGGCGCCACCTTTGCAGCCCTTGACACCTTGCCAGGAGTGGCTCCGGCCCAGCTGAGATACCTGCGTCCCTGCTCTAAGGCAAGGGGAGCCGGCGCCGGCCTCTCATGTTTCCTGGCTTGAGCTGCATCCAGTTCCCTCCCGAGAGGGATGTTGTCTCCTCCTGGACAACCCAGGACACCAGTGGCTCCAGGCACCGTGGCAGAGTCTCCTCCTCCGCCAGGCAGAGCTGCTGTCCCCCGCAAAGGCTGCACCCCAGCCCCGAGCACTCAGCTGTTCTCTTCCAGGCTCGCCAGCACGTCCCTCAGTCCCAGCTCTGGGCAGGCGCTGCCGGGCTGCCCTTCTCCAGCCTGCTCTCCCACCGTCACGCACCTCTCCTCCGGGCACCTCCTGGACGCTGGCATGTCAGAGCCATTCAAGACCGGGTTCATCTCGTCTGCCCGGTCTGGAGCCAGCCTGGTGCTTCATCCTTCCTTCGCCGTGCGCAGGCTGAAGAAATAAACGGAGTCACATGGCGTCACAGCCACATGAATGCAGGTAGCACAGACGTATCGCAATAAAACCTGTAGTCACGCTTCCCCCTCCTTAATAATCAGCTAAGCAGGTCAAGCCCCCCTCTCCCCCCTTGTGGGAAACTATCAGCAACAACTTTTGCGCGGCTTTTCCTCCCTGGGGAGCAGGCTCCGGCTCCGAAACGCCGTGGACGTCCCTTCCCCAGGGGTGGGACAAACGGATCCTCACTGTCGAGGGACTTTTCCCCTCGTTAGGTCCAGGGCGTTCTTACCCTCCCGGCGCGAGGAGCTGTTTCTTTCTGGCTCCAGCTTCTGAAAAGGACTAAGTCATTTTGGGCGTCACCAGGTCTTTTCCTCAAATCAGTCCCTAGTAACGCACCGGGTGACCCCTGCACAATTGCCGTGACCCCTCGGGACCGGCGACGGTGCACTCATGTACCACGGACGCCTGCCCCGGCTCCCCGTCCCCGTCCCGGGGCAGGGTCGGGGCCGTGCTCCGCGGCTGCCTCTGAACCCACAGTCGGCAGCCCGAGGGTTGTGCCCAGAGGCCCAGGCACCTCCCTGCAGCGCCGCCTGCCTGGGCGCTTCTCCCCCGGGCGTCAGGACG